CCCCCCCCCCCCCCCCCCCAGTTGAAGACACGCAATCACCACCGCAGTGGACAGTGTGTTCAAACCCAAACTGCAGAGTAAATATAGAACAAAATCCACATTCCCACCATGAATCTGCTCCTAGTGATCCAACTTGACTTTGTTTTGTGAGTTTGCAAAAACAACCAAACCTGCATACAGTCATGCAGAGAGCAGAAAGTGTGCACGCAGGAAGTTTGCACAGTCCTAAAAGTCCTCCATCAGCTGTAAATGATGTGACCTTACAGATACTCCCTGTTGTTTTTCAGCTTTGCATTCCATAGGAAACAAACAAACAAAATAAAAAGGCTGCTGAGGAGTGAGGAAGGAGGGAGGAGATACAGATCGACTCAAATTGGGGGGTTGATAAGAGCTGTGCAGTCGCCTGTCTGCCCACAGCCCTTTGTTATGATGTGCCACACCCCCAGCTAGACAGACTGCCAGCTGATCTGGCCAGCAACAGACTCGGCTAGCAGAGCCTCGACTGAGGAGGCGCTGCCTCTCCTCCTCTCACTGCAGCTCACGCCTCCTCATCCCTCCACTCCACTCAGCCACATCACCCCGACAGACCGGGACGAAAACACCAGCTCCCACCACCTCAGGATGAAACACCTTGCTTGCATGAGCGTGACCCATATTTGAGTCATGTGCCTTAGAAACAGTGCATCTGCAAAAAAAAAAAAAAAACAGGAGGGAGAAAATCGTACAGTTCCAAGAAATGCAGGATGCTGCATCTTTAATCCATTGTCACAGCTCATCCCTGACTTGTGTATCCATCCTGACAGGTACAAAGGATCGCCCCCCCATCCTTTCTTGTAGTTGAGTTACACCCCTCCTGCTGGTGGATGGGTTTCTCTCCACATGAATTAGCATTTAGAGACAAAAGAAAGGAACAATACATAAAACATGTCACCAAACTGAACACTTGAGGATTTCCTTTGAGTCTTTTTATATCGACTGCAGTCGAGTTGTGTTTTCGTTGTGCGTCATTGTCAGTTTCAGCGGTGGTGGAAAAGACAAAGAGAGAGAAACAAAGACTTTACCTCAGACATGTCAAAAAGAATGAAATGCTGAATGTTTAGCTGACGTGTTAAGTACAGGAAATATGCTAGTGCTCACAGTGTGCGCTTTATTGCAGAAAGCCCCTGGCTCCGGGTTTAAAGCGTCTTTTTGTTTGAGATATTCCTCCGTGGTTAGCCGATCGGCTTGTGTTTTTCATTATTTATTCCTTGTAAAGATGTTGATTTCACTGGTAAGTTTCAGAAGATCCCATTTAGGTTGCTTTGTCTAAAAGTCAGTGCTACCAGCACCACTCTGAACCCCCCAGCAGACCATGTGAGTTGTGTGTGTTTTTTATTGCTCTGCACTGGCCCTGCCCTTGTCACTATGTCTATTAAGCGTTTCCTTTCCCCTGCCCCTCTGTTTGGATGTGCTCCGTCGTCTGGGCTGGGCTGCGTCCCATAAATTCTGATAATAATGACTGGGCAGGCCCCGAATGTGGGTCAACTGAGTTCAGCTGGGCTGCCTCAGCCAATCTTGCAGTGTTTTCATAGAGTCAAACTCTGGCAGAGCGTGCTTCCCCCTCAGCCCCTACTAGCAGAATCACGAGAGAATAGATCCCAGCCCAGTCAGGTCCAGCCAAACACCGCTCTCTAATTGAGGGGGGAAACACTAACACAACAAACAAAGAGCTGGGAACAGGATGTTCTTTTTTGACTTCTGTGATACAGTTTTTGTGTTGAACATCTAAAAGGAGTAAAACGTCAAATATGTTGACTTTCTAATCAAATTTTTAAATGTTTTGTACTATAAAAGGTCACAAATGAATGAATGGGAATTTAAAACTTCTATATTTGACAAGGTTGAGGGTGACCGATGGAAACCTATAGACTTATGGGGGCATCAAGGGGTAACAGACACTACTGCACTGGGTTGGATACTGGTGAATCCTCATCAGTTTAGGGGTCTAAGGTTACCAGACAGCTTTTGCCTGGTGTCCTGGAGTAGGTGAAGCTTTTTTTTTTTGGCTTCATCTGTGGAGAAATGGAAGGATGGTAATATGATGTACAGATAATGGCACGTTTGATAAACATTAGATAACTGCAGGATTATTTTTAGCCATTGACTTTTTTTGTTTCATGAATTACAACTGCGGAGGCGTCTTGTGATTACCGGGGTGCATACAATCCTCCATGAAGCCTTCTTACTTTGCTGTGGTCATATCTTGCTGACTTTCATCTTCTTCCCCTTGAACCGACTGTGCCCCCCCCCCCCCCCCCCCCAACCTCCGCCACACACACACAGTTTAGTCTTACGAAAGCCCATCTTGTCAGTGTACAATACCTGCTTGAACTCTGTTGCTCCCTTAGGGAAGGGTAGGGTCATTGTTCTTAACATGTAAGTGTCTAATGACCTATTTTACAATTGGGTTCATGTTTTGTTTGAAACTCTTATGAGTTCTGTTGTTGTACCTCAAATATATTGTGAAATGACCATAACAACTCTTACTGTCCAATAGTGGTCAGTCGGGTCATCTGGACTCTGGACTTGTGGAAAGACGTTTCGCCCTCTATCCAGAGGGCTTCATCAGTCTGAGGAGTCCCAAGTAAACTGTTTTCCCCACAAAGCAGTACACTCATTTAGTGGACCAACCAGTTTTCTGGTGATAAGATGGTGTCTGGGGGCTGTCCTGTCCCTTGTTGACTCCTCCCAGGCAGGCAGCCACAGCCAAAGTGGTTCAAGAAATCAAAGTTCATGCTCAATCATCCAGGTCCAAAATCCAATAATGGACACTCAGGTCATCTGGACAGTTTATTTTTTGTGGAAACATGTTTCACCCTCAAGAAAACATCTTATAACTTGCAAACTGGTTGTTCCACTAAAGGAGTGCACTGCTTAGTGTGGAAAGCAGTTTACTTGGGACTCCTCAGACTGATGAAGCCCTCTGGATAGAGGGTGAAACGTCTTTACACAGAGAAAGAGAGAAAGAGAGAAAAAAAAAACAGTCCGGATGACCTGACTGACCATTATTGGATTTTGTACCTGGATGATTGAGCATGAACTTTGAACTCTTACTGTCCTACAAATTAAGGGCCACCATGAAAACCCAGTTGTTCATATGAGCAATCTATTTTCAGTCAAATAACTGTGGTTAATGACATTTTTTAATGTGAAATTATCCCAAGCTCCACATGGAAAAGGCAGCAGGAGTCTCTCATTAAACCTGCTTCGTCCCTGCCAGTAGTTTTATATTTGGCTTCACTGAAGCACAGAGTGTGCAGTGTTCCTGAGTGGCTGGTGGGAATGATGAGGTAGTAGGGTGGGGATGGGGTTTTCCTAACCTTGGCAAAGCAAAGAGTAAAAAGTACATTGAGGTAGAATTCAGCTTGTCCACCTGCCATCGTGACAGGATCTCCACCACTGCTCTCATTAATGTCTCCTGATGTGATCATGGTTTTTAGTTGGCTGGCTTCATGTTCTCAAATAGACTAATAATGAATAAATAAACACATTTCTCTGTTAGCATATTAAAATGATCACTGGTAGCAGGTTTAATACAAAATACTATTCACAGCCAAAGAGTTATTATACAAAAAATAAAAATAATTGCATTCAGACGTGCTAAACTGTAAAGGCTAACTTCACAGGCTACACCTACCGCAGTGTGTTAGCATTTTCTTTTTAGCATAATAAACAAAATCTGTTTAGTTCAAATGACTATTGTATAGAGAAAGCCTTTTAATATTTATGTAATATTGGTCCTGGATGGACTGGAGACCAATCCAGGGTGCTCCTCGCCAAATAGTGACTGCTGGATATGGACATCAGTGACCCCCGCGACCCAAAAAGGAAGACGCAGGTAAAGATAATGGATGGATGGATGTATTCCCATTCCAAACTGCTAATCTGTGATGGATGCATACCTACCAACTGCACTGATTTGGGTACAAGGGACTGTCCTGGATTTTGTCACCCCTGTCCCACTTCCTGTATAAGAAGTGGTGGGACACCCAAATTTGACAAGAGCTGGATGGGCTCACCTATTCATGCTGTGTCTGTGTGGGAGGAGGGATACAGAGGGGCTGTTTCATGGGATTCTTGCAACAGCATGGAGGTTACCATAATAAGGCTATATTGACTGTAAAGATAAACATGTTGTTAATAAAGTTCAGGTATGTTTAATAATTGATTCAGCAATCAACCACCATTTATTAGGTTGAAAATCTTTGCTTATTAGATTCAATATTGCTTGAGGGATTGAATGTGTGTATATGTGTGTGTGTGCTTGTGGTGGTAATTTAATTGTAGTAACCTTTAGTTGATGTGGACATCATTAGTGGGCAAATGGTGGACTCATGATTTTAGACAGATGTGGTGTTTGTAGGGAAGCTTGTATTTTCTATTTGCACTATATGCCTACCTGCTGCAGAGTACACTTTGTGATAAAAGTCCAGCGTGATTCAATAAAAAAAAAAGTTTCTTCTTGTGTAAAAATAAATAAATAAGGGTAATGCTGTTTTCAAGTTTGATCTCAGATAAAGTTCAGCGTAAAAGCCACTTACAGTCCATTGCCCACTTTGAAATAAATATATAATATACAGACTTTTGTTTAATCCTAGGAATTTGGTAAAACACACTTCAAATAGCTAGAAAAAGCATAGTTTTGAGTAGATTTAAAAGTAAAAATTCCAGGGCATGGTGACCCCTTCAGCATATTCTTGAAGTCAGACATCCAGGTA